TATTGTGCAAAGATGTTCTCGTGGCTATTCGGTGAGAAAAGGCTCCAGAATAGAACGGTATCACACTTACATACAATTATATTCATAGACATACAGAAAGTCTGAAGGGATGTTTTTATTGTAATAAGTGGTTACAACTAAATAGAATTTCTGTTTCCCTTTTTGTACTTTTCTACCTTTTTTTTTAAATGGGTACATCATTTTATAAAATAAACACAAAACCATCTTTGTTTTAAAAAAGATAAGTCCTAAACATGTTTTTCTTTAAAAATAAGCAATATATGTAAATAAAAACAAATACTTCTTATTACCTGGTAAAAGACAAACTAAACGAAAAACTTCCTTTATTTACAAGTTAATTTTTAAATTTAAGTCTCTGGATGAGTTAATGTATTTCACAATAACTAAACATGTTTTCATTCGTGGTTTTATTACTATTGAGATTTTAGCCCCTCTGAGGGCAACGACTATAAATTATCTGTGAATTCTAACTACACCAGGTATCATGAATATATTAACCACAAGGCACAGTAAATGTCAGCAGTGGTGATTCCGACTGGTACTAAGACAGCCTCACGTCCAACAAATGTTGGAAGAGAAGAGAAGAGAAGAGTCCAGGCAAAAAAAGCCCTAGATTTCCCAGTCGTATCAATCAGGAATTATTTATACATCCAACGTTTTTCCTTCTAAGGGGAGGGGAAAAAAAGGCAAAATAGTCTAATCGTAATTATGCTCAATCTTTTCAGAAATCCTTTCAAGTATCAATACTTAAAATAAATAAGAAAAGGTACAAAAGTGAAGTCTTTGTGCTTGAGTCACAGGTGAATAATTTTAAGTGGCATGGTGTCTTTAAGTTTTTTTATTTATTTGAGAGAGTGTGAGCGAGACAGATTGAAAGAGAGAGAGAGAGCCCATGCACAAGCAGTGGGGACGGAATGAGGGAGAGGGAGAAGCAGGCTCCTGGCTGAGCAGAGAACCCCACACGGGGCTCCATCCCAGGACCCTGGGATCATGACCTGAGCCGAAGGCGGGCAGTTCACCGACAGCCACCCAGGCGCCCTGGCTGCTTCTTTTGATAACTGTGGAATTACTAGTTGGTATCTCAAGACATCCTTATTTACTCACTGACAAGCATTTATTTCAACTACTCTAAATCTAAAATAATAAAAAGAATCTAATCATACTGCCACAGGGTGAACCTGGCCTGAACATGGCAGTCTCCCAGGATCCTTTGGGATCCTCTGGGATCACTGGGTGCATTAGGAGACCACAGACCCACAGTAAATGTTCACTGTTTCAACAATTAAGTTACTGTTAAAAAGTTAATGCTGCTTCAATCATAATCAGATGATAAAATACTGTAGTTCAAAGTAATGGATGAATCTATACTGAGCAATGGGGCCTTGCTTGCTGGCCCACGATGCTGTTCATGGCCAGAGCTGGTGAGAGGATCCCAGACTGAATCTGGACTGGCTCAGACATGGAGGGAGGGAGGCTCCCACCTTAAATCCTGGACGCACCTACTGGCTTCAGTCCGCTGACAAGATAGCCTCCACTAGCTCTCCTTTTGTTAGAATCTCTAATTAAATGATAACACTACTGGGTAAAATATAAACTTTTTTATTTTGATGTATTATATTTTGATATATTTGATGTATTATTTGGATGTATTATACATTTTCTGTCTAAAATAAATTCCATAATAACTACGAATAAACTAAGTGTAAATCCAAAATATTTCTAAGAAACTGAAGAGCTTAGCTTCAAGCATTTCAGCATGCCCTGGTTTAGACCAGCAGAGTAGCTGTGAATTAAAATAGGGAATGTGCACCGCTCTCCTTCAGCCAGTAGATGGCACCCTTCTTTTTTTTTGAACTGGGTTTATAAGGATTTAATAGGATTCAAGGTTGCTACCACCAATTATTTGACAAAGGGACTAATTCTGATTTACCTAATTTACCCAAAATAATCATATCAATTATTTATTGAGTGCATAGATCTGGACCATTTCTGTTCAGCATTTTCTAAGATTTGTTTTCTTTAGTCGTGGAAAGATAACAGTTCTCAGGAGTCGGGGCAATCTCACAATTACCCTCCAAATTCTCTGAGAACTGAAATATAGTACTGCTGTCCGCAAGACGCAGAGTGGGTCATATAATAAGAATTTGCTTAGAGAGTCTTAAAACCGAAGCCTTCCACAGTAATGGTCTACTGGGGAGCCCTGTCTTAGCACAGTGCCTGGCTCAGGGTAGGCCCACAAATGTCTTTTGAATGAACAAATTCATAAACACTACTGCTTTTAAAAGGTGTGCCCTCGAAAAACTATCAGTGGTTCATTTTTCTGTGAGACTTCTCAGATATGGATAGCAATCTGATATTCCTAATGACCTAAAGGTAGGGGGACAGTACATTCGTATTCTCGCGTTTTAAAGACATGAAGATATAAAAAGATTCCAAGTGTCCTTGTATTCAGCAGTGCCAATCAGAAAACAGTTTTTCTTGCCCAACCATTTTCTTTAGGCCATAATCCTCCTACAGGTGCCATAAAACAAAGAAGTTCACATTCTAGAAACTAGAATAGCACCAGATAGCCCATAAAGCCCAAGTTCTTGAGCATATAACTTAATCTAAATATCTTAACTTTGTTTGCCTATGAAAGTTTGGATGGATTCATTATGACTCTTCTCGTTCAAAGGTTATTTATATTTTAAAATATCTTAAAACTTTATTATTCAGTTTAGGACCCACATTACTAAGTTCTGGAAACATCCCCTGACAATTCCATCAAGTCACTTCATCAAGACCACCATTTTTATAGAAACTACAAGCTTAACCTTACTATTAAGTATCTCATGCCCTCAAGTATATTTCACACATAGTCAAAGAAGTTCTGTGAACTTCTAAGCAGCTGTGCTTCATTTCTAGCATAAATTAATGAAAATAAAATCTAGCAGTGTTTTTTAAATGGCAGTATTACTGTTAAAGTAATACATATTTAAGGAACATACAGAAAAGTGAAATAAAAAATTCACTCCCACACCCGTAACTCATCCACACGTTTCTACTGCACATATGTCCCCCCAGTTTTTTCCACTTGTTTTCAAGTAACTGCTCTCATATTATATATACAAATGAATCCTGCTTTACCATTATACCCTAAGCATTTTTCTACTGCAGATGAAGGCTAAAAGGAGGCCTTCTCTTTTATGAGGAAAGAATGGCCCAGTCCTAACTGGGATTAATTAGAAAGCCAGGAGATGAGGCCCACATTGAAGATACCCAGGAAGACCAGTGAAGTCATCAAGAATGTGTGGATCACATCACAATTAAAATGAAATTTACTCCTTCCCCCTCACTCTGGCCCCTTCCAACTACTCCTTTATTTTCCTATCTTAGCTAGGGGAGGTAACATCGGGAAAAAAAACTAGGTTCTAAAGACTATCAGACTTGGATCCAAATCTTGACTCCGTCAGTTATAAGCTGTGTGATCTTGGACAAGTGTCTTAACCTCTCTGAGTCCCAATTTCCTCATTTATAAAATGGGGGATATAACCATGTGCTTCATAGTTACTGTAAAGATTAAATAACCCGCTATGTCTAAAATGTCTGGTACAATGCCTACAATGGAAGGAGAGACTTTACACTGGTCAAAAGCAAAACTGAGATTAACACAAAAATCATCCCAAATCTTCAGTCATGGGTTTTCTAACTTTTCCGTGTAAACACAACTTTATTGTTATAAACAATTACTAGCCAGCAAAGTTACTTTAAAAATAAAGGTTAGTCAGACTAAAAGAAAAGCAACATCTATCTGTCTGTCCATTAGTATACTTTGAGTAAAAAGTACAATAATGCCTATGTTCAGTTATGATTAAACCAAATGGGAAAACTTGGGTAATGCCTATAGTAATAATATTACTTAGCACTCCCCCTCCTTTGCAATTTCTCCCCCTTTACAGAATCGCTCCCGTCAGCATACTCACATGCTGTCAATTCTCCCAACTTAAAACAAAAAACAAAAAACGCCTCTCTTGATCTCAGTCCCCCTTCCAGCTACAAGCCCATGTCTTTCTTTACCTGTAAAGCAGAATTTAAGACGTGCCTATACAGGCAGTGTCTCTTCTCCATTCTTTTGGACCCACTCCACCCAGGCTTTACCCACCAAGGACCGCCACACCGCTGACTTGGCGAACTGCCGAGTCCCATCTTACATGACTTCACGCCACTATACACCTTCTTTACCTGGCGTCCAAGCCACTGTTCTCCCGGTTCTCCTGGGTTTTCTCCTTTACTAATTTCCTTCGTATTTCCCAACCTCTAAACCTTGGGAGTGCCCAGAGCTCTTTCCTCGGACCTCTTTTCTCTCTATGTTCAATGCCTTGGTGAGTTCATCTGGTCTCCTGGCTTTGACTACTATCCACATACTGAAGACTCCCAAATTTACATCTTGACCTTGTACCTCTCCTCTGAACTCCAAACTTCTATATCTAACTGCTTGCCTGACTTTCCTCTTCCCTACCTAACAGATTATTTCAAACTCACAGGCCCTAGATGGAGCTTCTGACATTACCCCAAACATCTGCTCCTCTCACACTGTCCCCATCCATCTTCCAGCTGCTCAGGCCAAAAGCCTTGGAGATCCTTGACCTCATTTTTTCTCTCACCTCTCACATTCGACGTGAAACAAGTCCTTGTTGACTCTACCTTCAAAATATATCCAGAACCTCTTTTCATCAACTCCCTTGCTGCCACCTATTCCAAACCACCGTCAGTTCTCACCTGTCACACATGGCCTGGTCCACAGAACTTCCTACCAGTAGTTTTAAAAAAGCCAATCATTCCCAGTATGGAGCTGTTTAGCCTGGAGTAAAAGTTACACACACACACACACACACACACACACACACACACAAACACACACTTCTTGGAAATCAGGCATAGTTAGTCACAGAAAGTAGAATAAACATTCAGACAGCAATTACAGGACTGTAGTGACTTACACTGTGAACTCCTAAAGCTTTCCAGACTGCGAAGCTGATCACACCAACCCCACACCAGGCATAAAGTGAGCCCCAGCCGAGGGCTCGCAAGGCAAGGGAAGACCCGCTCTCTGGTAAGGCGGCTGTGGCCATACTTCCCTGAAATGGAGAAAGAAAGGAAAAAGCATCAGTTCGGAAAGTGTAATTATTTCGGGAATGTTTGACGCTCACGACTCTCCGAATGTCACCGTAATTTTGGGATGCCAGATGAACCCAAGTTCAAAAAGCAGCTTTGTTACTTAATAACTACAAGACTTAGGTCACGACTCCTCTGACTGACGGATATTTGAGTAGGCAGGGCATTGCCAGGAGCTGCACTGGGTACTAGAGAGAAAAAAGGCAAATAGAATAACTTCTTTCTGACTAAAAATTTCAGTCACTGGTGCGGGGGGCGGGGCGTAGACACAGACACATAAAAGTTAACTGTGATCTAAATGGAATGTGCAACGAGAGAACTATACCCAGGGCACCGCGGTCCCAGAGGAGGATGCATTATCTACTGCTGCAAAGAGAGGAAGCTTTAAGGAGGGGTTCCTCAAAGAGGTGAACTAATAGAAGTCACTGCGAAGACTTGTAAATGTATATGCAAAATGCGGGGCACACAGTAGAAAGCCAACTTGTGGCAGCTAGTCACGAGAAAGTAGGAAATAAACAATGACTCTCCTTTTGGGTTTCAAGGCATCTTATTACGGTAAAAAATTCTATAACCATAATAACTGAGCAACTTTCAGCTCATCAGCACACGAACTTGACAGAGAAGACTAGGAATGCGATGTATGCTTCAACAAAAGCATATAACCATCCCACCACTGAAAGCACTGGTTACTGATTATTTTTTTCCAAAACTTTTCTTTGCTCTTTTTGCCTATTAATTATCCCAGAAAAGCCCTACAACATTCTGTCAAGTTCTCTCTGAGTTCTGTTCACTGGCATCTTCATAAAAATGCCATCAAACTGATCAGCTAATGTAATAAGACAGCAAATTTGTAATGTTTGGTCTTCCTTCTGGAAACAAATTTCTATTTACTTGGGGAAAAAAAGCCTTTCTCCTTAAGAACAACTTCCTTTATATTGCTCAACCCACTGAATAATAAAGGTTTGTATCACGTGTTGTGGTTACGAATGTTATTGGTGGCACATAGAAAAGCTGGGCTTACCTGTATCTTCAGGTCTCACACCGTGCCCTGACCCAGAAGATACTCAGTATTTGCTGACTTAACACTTGTTTGTAATATACCTGAGACCCAACCAGATTTTCAAGAGATGTTTCTTTATTTACTGTGATCAAAACAACACTCTCCTCTCCCTTTTCTCATGTTGCTGTAATTTCAGACCAGTTCACTAGACACCACAGATCTCATATAAATTCACTAACTTCTAACTGGCCTGAATTTTCATCCAGAGCAATACCATTAGCCAAATATTATTAAAAGAGGGTCAATTTGAGTGCCTAAATTTTATTTTAGAAACTTAAGTTAAAAATTCCTTATTTCCTTGGGAAGGACAGAAATTATCTATGTATTATGTATGTGCATGTGTTTTTAAAAGGCACCTTAGCTTACACCTTCCTCTGTTTATTCAGTGAAGGACAAAGAAAAATCAATGTTCGTTCGTTCAGCATTTACTACTCCCTTTCCACTAGTGTGAGACTCAGCTAAGATACCGCGGTTAAGACTATAAAGAAATGATGACCATCTTCCTGAAATAATAGCAGTGTAGGCAGTCCCCAACTAAAGGTGGTCATTTTTAAGAGTCCTGAGTTGCAATCTGTATCTGTATTATAACGAATGCTTCGATTCCAGGCTAGTGGACAGAAGTCTATTTAAGTAAAAAATTGCTAAAAATAGTATAATTTCCTCACCAAGAATAAGATGGAAAGAGTGCCCTGGTGAGCAAGTTGTTTAATCCGTCCATGCCCCAGTTTAATGGGGACAACGTAATAACAGCGTCTCATGGGGCTGTGATGGGGGTTCAAGGAGCAGCAGCAGCCAGCACGTGGTAAGCATTCAAGTGCTAGATATTATCTTCACTACTAATGTCAGGGAAAACTGCCAGGCGGCGACTCTGAAATACACTGCCTAAGTGGGATTCTTAAACCGGTGCTTGCTAAGTGTAAATGCATTACCTGCTCCAGAACCTCTGAGCCTCTCAGACACGGTCTGGATCAGTGGTGATGCTCTAATTCAGATGCTCCCCCAGAGGAGAGGCAGAACTTTACACAACATATTTAACCAGCCAGAACAGTAATTCTCAAACTTTCCGGTCTCAGGATCCATTTCTACTTGGATCCCAAAGACTTCTGCTTGTGTGGATTATACTTACGAATATTTAATATATTAAAAATTAAAACTAAGAAATTCTTAAATTTTAAGTATTAATTTAAAAATTTTAATTTAATTTTAAGTATTCATTTAAAAGTATTCATTTAAAAATCAACCCAGTAGGGGCGCCTGGGTGGCTCAGTGGGTTAAAGCCTCTGCCTTCGGCTCAGGTCATGATCTCAGGGTCCTGGGATAGAGCCCCGTGTGGGGATCTCTGCTCAGCAGAGGGGGGTGCAGGGGGCGGGGGTGCCTGCCTGCCTCTCTGTGTACTTGTGATCTCTCTCTGTCAAATAAATAAAATCTTAAAAAAAAAAAAAATCAACCCAGTATAGGTGAATAGAAACCTATTCTTATGAAAACAACTGCCTTACAGAAGAATTTAGTGCCAAGAAGCGATGTTTTACGTTTTGATTAATCTTCTAAATGTTTGGCTTAATAAAGGACAGGTGAGGGTTGAAGGCGGCCTTGCACGACCAGTTGAACCGGCTCAAGGTTGAAGAACTAGCCCTCCGATCAATGATTAGTTCTAGGAGAGGGGATGAGATGTTGTCTTCTCAGCCTGCACCTGAACAGTCACCTGATATGTTGGTTCATGTTGACAACGAAGCATCAATCAACCAAACGGCACTGGAGTTGAGCACAAGGAGCCATGTGCCCGAAGAGGAGGAGGAGGAAGAGGAAGAAGAATCAGATTCCTGAAGCAGGTTAGGGAAGAACCAAGCTTAGTTACAGGAACTAAGTTACTACATCTGAGGAACTTTTGTCTCTTCAAGAAAATTTTCTTTCCATGGGCCCTCTGGTCGGCTTTAAAAGGAACAAGAACTTTAGGTTGTGTAGTCGTGAAAATGGTTCCATCAAGAACTCCAGTTTCAGAACACTTTAACAAAAATTCGTGCCATATGGAAAAGCAGACATGCAGTGTCTTAGCATTGAGCAATACGGGTGGTACTGTAACTGTATTCTGGTCAGATTTAGTAATTATGCTCAAAACAAAGTTTCCTCTAAAATGCTATTGAGAAAGTCTGGCATTTGCACAAAGGGCAGAGTTTAAATACAAGCCAGCCTTTCCAGTCAGCAATACCTCTTTTAAGAAAACCAATTAAAGGTTCTGTGGATGCCACTGAACTATTGTGAGCAGAGCAAGGCTGAGGTCTAGGAGAGAAGGATGACAAGTGAGGAGCCAGAGGGCCACTTGAGAACGCAAGCTGCTGCCACCTCTCGGTGGAGCAGGTAGGAACTCTCTACTGTAGAGGGCTTTGTGGGGGCTGCCATCACTTGTAGGCTGAGACATCACAGTGGAAAAATGTGCTTAGAAATAAAGTACAGATAGGGGCGCCTGGGTGGCTCAGTGGGTTAAGCCTCTGCCTTCGGCTCAGGTCACGATCCCAGTGTCCTGGGATTGAGCCCCGCATCGGGCTCCCTGCTCAGCAGAAGCCTGCTTCCCCCACCCTCCTGCATGCCTCTCTGCCTACTTGTGATCTCTGTCAAATAAACAAAATCTTAAAAAAAAAAAAATAAAATAAAGGACAGATGAATTTTCATAAATGCTTCTGTATTCAATCTGTTGCAATATGTTTTTTGATGGAAGAATGTGAATAAAATCCAGTCTTCCAGAGATCTGTGGTTGGAAAAGGGACAAGTATTTTAACAGCCTCCCTTCTCTGACACTCCACCGAAACTTCCCGAATAGCTGTCTGTACTCTGGAATCGGAAGTCAGACCGATGAGTTTTTTGCACTTTGTTACATTAAAATCCATTCATCTCTTTTGTATTTCGAATGGGCCTTTTATACATGCATTAGGATCATTCAGAAAATACTGACTTACCAAGTTATGCAGATCTTTCCGAGGCTGACACCATTTACTAAATATTTAAAATTTCACATTATTATTACCAGCAATCTCATCAGGAAAGCCTTACATTATCGAGCACCTATCATGCTCCCAATGGCAAGTTTCCTAAGATCTAATTTTCACTTGCAAGCTTCAATTTTTTTCATTGCCAACAAATACCGACAAGGGCTTGCTTGAGAGATGACAGGCTCATCTTGTTCATTTTGAAGATAACACCTGCCAAATACCCACTTCTAAATAACTACAGTTTGTCAGTTGCTCTTGCAAATACAATATGATATTACATGAAAAAAAGCAGTGGGTTCAGCATGCAACTTAATCATACAATTGCTTTTCCTAGAGAAAAACGTCTCTGGTATAGATCAGAAGGGCTTTATGATACTTCCCATTTCTTCATGTGGAATAGTAATCAAGTGTTAAGATTTAATAAAATCAACACTTTTACTGCTATAACAAGGACATTCTTATGCAACGAGGTTTTTTTTGGGTTTGTTTTGTTTTGTTTTGTTTTGTTTTTGAAACTGCAGAGGCATGGTAACAGAGAACACAATGACTACTAGTAGTTTGGTGCCACTGCCTTGATTACGCTAAGGCACCAGCAGTTTTACCCCCGCAAATGCCTTAGGATTATTATGAAAATAGTTTTGACTTTACAGACCCTCAAGAGTCTCAAGGATCCTAGGGTTCTGTGGACCACAGCTTGACAACCACCATGTTTGATAGGGCATGTGTGATAATCAAATCTTAGAACCACAAAATAGAATACCAAGTTGTAATTGTGGGTATGTAGTTTTTTTCCCTAAGAATCCGTAACTTTCATGAGATTCTCAGAAAGGTCTGTGACCCAAAGGTTAACTGGTAATTTTGGATTAGAAATCTATGCAAATTGTACTGTTAAAACGTCGCTATCAGTTAGGCCTTACTGATTCCTTCGACAAGATGTATTTCTGCACTGAAAGTATTCTGTAATACAAGGGGAAAATGACCAGTTTCATCACAGTGATTTCAGTAGTTCCATTTAAGCCTCGAGTATGCAGACGGGAAGCAAAAGCATCTTAAATGTGGTCTTTTTCCTTTACAGTATTTACAATGCTTAAGCATGATATCCAATTATTAAAAATTAAAGTGGAGCGGGAACCTGACTGATTTATGATTTTTCATGTAACACTGTTCTTCCAAGCAAACCTCAAATTATAATTATATAGTTAATTGTGTCAATATTTAGTATCTGTCTCCTGCACCAGATGCTAGCTTCCTGGAAGGCAGATGTTTTGTTCATTCTTCTGTCTCCTGTACCCAGCTAGCACAGTGCCTAACACAGAAAAGATCCTAAGTTAACATCTGAAGCAATGAAATGATGGATAAATAAATCATACGGGACGAAGAGGGCAGAGACAGGACACATGCAAACAAGTAATGACAAGTCAATGAGAAGAAAAATCCTCATCAACTGGGGTATGACCACATGAGTGATTACTTAGTCTTGCTCACACAGTAAGAATTTTCTGCCTTAAGTAGCTTATGGTCATTCAACCCAAACTGATTGCGCCCTGATGTGTCAGGCACTTTTCTGGGGAGCGGGGCTGCAGCAGCACAAAGCATGTGTGATCTCTGGGCTCAAGGAGCTGACCCATGTTTTTCATCAATGGTAAGATGCACTTTACTTCAACAATTGAACATTTCTGAAACAGAAATGCCTCTGGTGGGGCGCCTGGCTGGCTCAGTCAGTAGAGTATGAGACTCCTGATCTTGGGATCATTCAAGCCCAGGCCGGGTGTAAAGCTTAAATAAATAAGTAAATAGAAATGCCGCTGGGAATCAGTATTGTGTCAAGAATTTAACTGGCATCATTTTTTTCCCCAGAGGTGTATAAAATACTGGGCCTCTTACAACTGATAGGGAATTACCCCGATTTAGACTTAGTCATGTTGTGAACAGGAAATGTACTGGATAGCTTTCCAAGTCTTGTTCTGCTAAAATTTAAGAAAAAGAAAGCACAGAACTAAATACTTCTCTTATCTTTTCTTTTTTTTTTTAAATAAAGATTTCATTTATGTATTGAGAGAGAGCGAGGGCACAGAGGGAGAAGGAGAAGCAGGCTCTCCACTGGGAAGAGAGCCCCACATGGGGTTTGATCCTAGGACTCCAAGATCATGACCCCAGTTGAAGGCAGACACTTAACCAACTGAACCACCCAGGTCTCCCTAAATACTTCTTTCTAAATGAAAATAAAGACCACTGGTTAATTTGTACATTTCTTGAATCTACGTATGTAGGTTTATTTCTTAAAACAACATGAAAGGCCACCAATACTTTCTTTACTTCTCCCATGCAAAACAGCCACCAGTTATCTGTAAACAATAACAATGCTACGAATGGATTTCCGGGTCACAAACCTTATTGAACCATTCAGGGCTTTTCTTTTTAGCCAATGATAATGTTGTAACAAATCCCGCTAGCATTCCTGCTGCAGCCACAGTACCAAGGAAAACTCCACCTGCCAAGAGTTTTGAGGGTAGGGCGAGGAGAGATATTAAAGAGAAAGCGAGAAAGAGAAAAAAAAAACCCACCTTAAGAAGATGTACCCAAGTAAGTCCAGACACTATTTCAATTACATTTTAAGTCACTTTGAAATGTGAGAACGAAAGCTAGTCAGCTCTGGCCAAAGGTAAACGATAGGGGTGCGAAACCTGCGTGACCTCACGACCTCTGGTTCCTGAGATCATTCTGCGGGGTCGTTTCCAAGTGCTGGGAATTGGTCCAGGGTCCCTTTCTCTCTTCCCAGGGACGGTTTGGGAGTTTCTCCCGGGAAGGAAAACAAGCTAGTGAAAGGTAGGGCAAGGGACGGGAGAAACTGCAGCGGGGATGGGGGAAAATGCAGCACACAGGACACCTCACGGGACCAGCCCCCCAGCCCACGGGAGTCTCCACCCTGCACCCCGCACGACCCCTGACCAGCCGATCCCCACCGGCTAAACTCAGGGGCAACCCAAGGTTAGGTCTCCCAGGGCGGGGTGTGTGTGTGGGAATGGCGGTTCCAGCGCAGGCCCGGGAAGAGCTCGCCCCGACACCAGCACCTCACCGCACCACACCTTTCACCAGGAAAAGCCGATCGTCTGCGGAACCCGGAGCCTCGAGACCTGAGGACGGTAGCCCACGTCCAGCACCTGCTGTCTCCATGTTTATAAGACTCCACCGCTGGGTCCGACGCCAACTGGGTTCGGGGGGAAGCGAGAGCGAAGCAGAGGAGAAAGGTTCCGCTACCACCTCTCCCTGTGCGTTCAGAATACCGGTCCGGGGACCGACCGCTCATCCCAAACCCTCTCTCCTCCCCAGCCTACGGGCGAGAAGGCGTGGTGGCTGCACGTGGTGTCCCCACCCCAACCTCGGGGTGGGGCCGGAGGGGAGCCTTGGTGTCCTCCCGGGCCGCCTCCAGCTTGGGCCTTCAGCCCGAAAGCTGCACTTGAACAGGACAGCGTCTTATCTGCAGCAGTGCTCGGCTCGGACTCTGGGAGGCAGTGAGCGGTCGCAGATGGCGCGGCGAGCCCAGGGCCGGCGGGTTCGAGACCCTGGAGCTCCGTCTCCCGGATCAGACTTCGTTCCTCCCAAGGATTTAACCAGCGCTAATATTTCACGATTCTAAAAAGCAGGTCCACGTCTTCTCTTTGTACTTTCCCGAGAAGTTTCGTAGCAGTGCTCACGTGAGGTGTAAGGGGCAGGTTTTATCGCTGGAAGAGAGCCAGCCCGACAGCTCCGCTGCGATCACCTCCGTCCCCGTGCTTTGATTGATGGACCTACCGAGAGGGGCGGGTGGCTGTCCTGCTGAACTGGCGTGAGACAAGCCAGCGGGGACAGCCGAGGACCACCCTGAGGACTTGCTAACGCAGACGTCCAGGTTGCACCAGAGCCCTTCTTGCGGGGAGACGCTGGTGCTGGCGGCCCCCAGATGGGCTCGGGCTTCGGTCTGGGAGGCTGATCTGCAACGGTTGTGGATTCTATAAATGGTCACCGAGAGGAAGAGGCTGGAAGTCGTAGAAAATCTTTTCAGCCTCTCAAACACCGACGCATGACATCATCTTTTAAAACGAGACAATCTGTCATTTGTTCATTCTGAACCGTCGCACAGAGGCCATGAACTTATTCAGGATGGGGATGGAGATTTTTATTCAATTTTAGATTCCCTGGCTCTCAACTCCTTACCTGGTCACACATAATAAATTCTGGATGAATGAGTAAATGAATGCATTAGTTAATTACAATTAGTAGCTCAAATCTGGGCTCAGGTCCTAAGTCACTTCTCTGTTAGGTGAACTTGGCTGAGTTATTTAGGCTCTTTGCCGCAGTTTCCTCATATATAAAAGAAACACATTACCTGCCTTAGAAGTTGCTGTGAGAATTAAAGGAAGCAATAAAAATAAAGAAGTTAGCGTAGTGCCTGGCACAGATAGATACTCAATACATGTTAGCTCTAGCTATCATACCTTTCAATTCCCGCAGCTGTTTTACAGCATTGCCTATGGAAATTTTTAAATTATAGATGCCCAGGGCCTACTGCTGAAGATGATTGCTCTGAAGGTCCATGCAGGGCAGTTTAAAAGCTCCACCGGGGGCTCTACCGCTCTAAAAAAAATTAAAATAAATAAATTATTTTTAAAAATTAGGAGTGCCTGGGTGGCTCAGTCAGTTAAGTGTCTGACTCTTGATTTCTGCTCAGGTCATGATTTCATAGTCCTGAGATTGGGCCCCGCCCTGTGTAGAGCCTGCTTAGGATTCTCCTTCTCCCTCTGATCCTCCCCCCGCCCCCACAAAATAAAAAATATATTTTTAAAAAGCCCATGGGGTTTCAGATGATCAGTCAGGTTGAGAACTACTGCTCTGTTGGTTCCTTGGAAATACAAGGCCAGAGTCTGAAAGGCCCCTTTAAACTGGTAAATGCTGGGCTCACTTGTTGAAGTTCTTAAGGACTCATCTTTTCTCCTTTCCCTCATACAAAAAGGTGATCACAGCAGCTAACATTTATTGAGTGCTTTCAATATGTCTGGCTTTGTGCTAAGTGCTTCAAACATGTTATCTTATTTAATTTTCTTCATAAACTCAGACCAATTAACTTGCTCAACTCACACAGCTGTTAAAAAGCCAAGCCAGGATATAAAAGCAGCTCTATTTTTAAAAGCAACAAAAACAAAAAGAAATTAGTGGGACTAGCACAGGCCAAAAGCTTCTGCATGGTGGAGACACCGTCAACAAAATGAAAAGACAACCTACTGCATGGGAGTGAATATTTGCAAATCGTATACCTGACACGGAGCTAATACCCAATATATAAGGAACTCATACAACTCAAAGGCAAAAAGAAAAAAATCACACAGGCAGAGGATCTGAATAGACATTTTTTCCGAAGAAGACATATAGCGGGCCAACAGAGCCATGAAAAGATGCTCTACATCATTAACCATCAGGGAAATACAAATCAAAACCACAGTAAGAATCACCTGACACCTGTTAGAATGGCCCTTTTTAGAAAGACAAGCGATAACAAGTGTCACTGAAGATATGGAGAGAAGAGAACCCTTCCACACTGTTGGTGGGAATGTAGACTGATGCGGTCACAATGGAAAACAGGACAGATGCTCCTCAAAAAATTAAAGATAGACCTACCATATGATCTAGCAATTCCACTCTGAATATTTATCTGAAGAAAATAAAAACACTATCTTGGAAAGCTGTACCCACATTCATTGTAGCGTTATATACAATAGCCAAGGTATGGAAACACCTAAATGTCCATCAGTGGATGAATGGATAAAGAAATTGCGGTATACATATTTAATGGAATATTCAGCCATAAAACGAATGAAACCTTGCCATTTGGAACAACATGGATGAGCCTCGAGGGCATTATGTTAAGTAAAATAAGTCACACAAAGAAAGACAAATACCGTGTGACTTCTCCTGTGTGTGCAATCTAAAAGAACAAACAAACAAAATAAAAATGAAAAAAAGAAAAAAAGAACAAGCAAACAAAAAATAAGACCATAGATACAGAGAACAGATCAGTGGTTGCCAGAGGCAAGGAAGGGGTAGAGGGTAGGAGAAATGGGTGAAGGGGGTCAAAAGTAAGTAGAAAACAAACAAACAAACAAATAAATAAATAAATAAAAGCAATTCCAAACTCGAGCTTGGTAACTGGAACTCCCCCAAAGGGCCTCACTCCCAGAGTTTTTGATTCAGTGGGTCTGTGTGGGGCCTGAGAACTTTCATGTCTAACGAGTTCACAAGTGGTGCTGCTGGTTAGAGAGATCCTCTCTCTGCTTTACTCTTACAGTTTATACTTCTAAAAGCCACACTGTCCACTTCAGCACTTGGAATTCTCTTCTCCCAAGACCGCTCAGAGAGGACATGTCCAGGCTCCCTAATTCCCCGTCTTTGCTGGCCCCCCCACCCCTCCCTGCCAAACCGCAGACATTTTTTATTTTAAGAATTATATTACTATTTACCGTAAGGAACAGAAGAGAGAACTCATGTTTAAATTTAGGGACATTACAGCACCCTGTCATCTAGAGCCTGTTTTCATTCTGAGACAATATTGACCATCCCTGCTGGACCCCTTTCTGCTTCTGCTCCAAGGGCTGCAGCTCATGAACATCTACCTTCATTCTAATTCCCCACAACAGAGGACAGCGTTCCTCCTTCCTACCCCTAAGTTCAGTTTCCCAGGATACAGAGGGTAAAGAGGCAATGAAGGCAAACCCAAGGGTAATCTTTGCCATGGTGAGAAATTTGCACTTCGAAGATCCTTGTCAGACACATGCCTTGAGAGGAGAGACCGGGAGCCCCTTGGACGAGGCGACCTTATGGTGTGGGGAGCTCCCAAACCCATTCCTCACTGGCCCTAGGCTCCTGTCCTTTGCTCTGTTCCAAATTCCAGAAGACGGTGATTCCAAGGCCTGGGAAGCTTGCATGAAACCAGGATGGGGAATCCCTGGCCTTGAGATTAGAACCACAGTCCAGGCATCCCCAGTTAGGACACTTAAAGAAAATGCATTTTAAAGACAATGTTAACCAAGATCTCCTATTTCTGTGGTTCGCACAGTTAGGGACTTCGGCTGCCATCAAATGAACTGGCCTGCTCTCAGGACCCTCCAATCCTACCTAGACTAGTTTCTACAAGAAGGAGTGATGCGATCTCCAAACAGGTGATTCTCAGATATTTGGAACACGGTGTCTCTGCAAGATAGGCTCTGCTGGTTCTGAAACAGCAAGGTGGGGCGTATGCTGAGCATGCGCCCCTGTGCTCAGAAATTTACAGAAGTTTGGTGCTCCGTGCGATGGGAGCAGGACTGGTGTTTCAATGGAAGCATGATTCCCTTTTACATTTTAGGAAAATGTAATAGAAACGCCTTGCAAGCAAAGAGGCTGCTGGGAAAGGAAGCTCATCTAAGACCGACTCTGTTGCTATTTTGGTGTTTGTTTTAGTCAGCTGAAAGTCCATACCGTCTATGCCTCTGACCACATTCTTATTTCAAACCTTTGGGCCCCTGTAGATTCTATTTCAGTTTTGATGGCTAGAAAACCTGTTAGCATTACGGTTTCCCAGAACGTGGGTACCCTCGCTCTCTCTAGTTCCAAACACTGACAGGCTGTTTTCCCCATCTATTTTTAAAACATTTCTTTTGGAGCTTCAATTTCTCCCTGTTTAAAATATGAGGGTGAATTCTTTTTTTAAAACCTGATAAACGTCATATATTGGTCATTCTTCTCACTGCTGCTTGATATAAGATAGTTGTCAAAAATAGTGCTCAAAGATCTTTAAAAGCTGTTGCCTAATTAAATGTGTACCTAAGAAAACAGATCTCCTGGGCTTTATGTGGAATTATTAACAAAGGTTACCTTGAGGGAAGGGGGGAGGTGAAACTTTCTAATCATATTTCATCTTTTCTGTCCTAATAAGCAAAATGCTGACCAAAGCAACAGTTTTACATATTTCTATAATGTTTCCCCAAAAACTTTAGCAAGAAACTTATATTACTTTTATGAAAGGGGGAAAACAAGGAAGAAAAACAATAAAAATACTTTAAAAATGTATCACATCATTTAAAGAGATTTTTTTGTCCTGTGTAAGTAGAAATATTATGTAGGTTTCCAGAGTAACTCACCAAACTCTTTAGCAGGTATCCAGTGACAACACTTGGGTA